GCTGAGAAAAGATATTTGCAGTATACATGTTCAGCCAAGGACTAATATCCAGAATATATGAAGAATTCCTCTGAATAAATAAGAAAAGGACAGTCAACCTAGTAGAAAAATGAGCAAAACCTTGAACAGATATTTCACAAAAGAGGACATCCAAATGGCCAATAAATATATGAAAAGTCCTCAACTTGATTTGTCTCCTTTTTCTAGCTTTAATTGGAAGCTTACATCATTATAGATTTTTCTTCTTTTCTAATATATGTACTATATATAACACATAGATATTCATCTAAGCATTGCTTTTGCTGCACGTTACAAATTTTGAAATGTTTTTATTTTTTATTAAATTCAAAATATTTCCTAATTATTCTTGGATTCTTCTTCAAAAGAAGAAATATTTAGAAGTGTTAAAGAAAAAAAAAGACTCAGTGATACTTATTAACACACAGTAAGAAAAAATTCATTCAGGACTATCATGATCGATATAGGGACCACTACAATGGGATTTTGCAGCTGGGGAGAAGATTGGATTCGACTCCTAATACAGCGTGAGCAAATGGGAATTATGGCCAAGGAGCAGAGTAGGGGTTAGTGAATGGAAAATTACCAAGAGGAAACATCAGGGATAAGGAAGCTTCTGGCTAAACTGACCTAATAGGATTTTTGCTAAAGTCAGACCAGGGTGATCACCTGGGGGATGGTGGAGGATGAGGAACCCAAACTCACATCAAGGGTGATCAGATATTTGGAGTTGGGGGGTTCTTGCAAAACTGACTTAGCAGAATTCTTTGTTAAAACTGGATTTTACAAGGAGGTGCACAGATGGGCCTGCGATAATGTTCAGGAGCCTGACTAAAGTTCGGTCAAGCAGAGATTCTAGTTTAAATATTTTCAGGTTTTCAAAAACACATTGTTAGCACAGGTTTAGAGTATTCTTTACCAGAGGCTTGTTTATCTCTACTCATTATAATGACCCTTCTGGGTTCTCCATTGAATGCCATGGTGTTCAACAAAGATTCTCTCCTCTCTGGCTGGTCACAACTCAAATGTATCCCAATCCTGTATGAGCTCTGGAAATACTTCTGTTTATAGCTCCTGTTGTTCCTTGCCTTACCTTTTTGTGTTTCATAGTATGGATATGCAACAAAATATTTAGCCACAGGTTCAAAGGAATTCTTAAGCAGATTTCTGTAGCTCTTTTTCATTGTATCTTCCTCCTCTCTGAGTACTGGGCTTCACAAATTGCAGCTGTTTTAGACTTCTCTTTTGCTTCAGGTCAGCGATACTCTCATGTTCTTCCTGGGACCCCAGTCCCTGATCATGGTCTAGAAAGTGCCTCCAGGCAGAAATCTGTGCTACCATTAGGGGCCCTCTTCGTTTATTTGCTTTGTGTCAGGAGTCACAGTTCTGTGTTGCTTATTGTCCAGTGTCTGAATACAGTTGTTTCATATCATTTGTCCAATGAGAAATAGATTTTAAATGGGGGTCTTCATACCAGAGTATCAGAAACACCATAATCAGCGGGTAGTAAATCAGAATCAGTCTATAGCTAATGCTCATCCTGCTCTGCGGTGCCAGGGCTCTGACTCTGTCAGCCCCACCCCACAAAAACCCATTAAGATGTGGTTTGTTGGTGCTTAGTTTGAATCAAGAACAAGATAGTCCCTGATGTCTATAAATGTTTCTAATTAAAGGCCAAGCATGATGGCTCACACCTATAATCTCAGCACTTTGGGAGGACGAGGTAAAGGATTGCTCGAGGCCAGGAGTTCAAGACCAGCCTGGGTAACATAGCAAGACACTGTCTCTACAAAAATAAAAAATAAAAAAATCAGCCAGTCATGGTGGCATGTTCCTATAGTCCCACCTACTCAAGAGGCTGAGGCGTGAAGATTGCTGAAGCCCAGAAGTTCCAGGCTGCAGTGAGCTATGATCATGCCATTGCATTCCTGCCTGGGTGACAGAGCAAGACCTGATCTCTAAAAATATCTCTATATATTTCTTATTAAAAGTAGAGACTGTGTGGGTTCTTTATAAAAGGAACAAGCTGTAAGTATAAAATATCTTTCAAGAAGTAAGAAATAACATTTCTACTGACAGCAGCACTGTGTTCTGCTGGGCTAATGATCTAAGAGCCAAGGAAAACTAAATTGAGATAAGTCACGTCTGCCTTTGTGGAGCCATTCTGTTTCAGTATGTTCCATGTTCTTAGCTAAACAAATCAGGAACCTAACCCAAACTTAACTGCTGTGCAGTTGAATGTATCCATGTGCATGTGTATGTGTGCCTCCTATCAATCTATAATGGACCTGGGAAGCTGCCAATATATATCAAAGGGTCACAATTTTTGAAATCTTTATATATGTGTATTTATGATTATATGAACAAAAAATGTATACATCAAACTGGAAACATCAGCGTTTTCAAGAAGTAAACCGAGGGAAAGCAGAGACTACATATATTTTATTTTATATACCTTTTTATCATTTGAATTTATTATAATAATTTTATTTTTATAATGTCGAGTGTATTAAAAGATTAGATCTAATATATTTTTGTGGTAAATCATCTTTGATAATTATGTAATGACCATCTTTATCCTAATATTTTTGTTAGTGTATATTTTTTATGTTCCTTTTTAAAAATGATTTTCTTGCCTTTGATTTGATGTTACATTTTTTAAATTTCCTTTTTGACCTCCTCTGATTTGTAAATTTTATATTTTGTTCTCCATTCTTCAAATAATTATTCTTGATATTTAACATATATCATTTATTTGACAAGGTCTGAAGTTCATCAGTACCTCTACACTCCTACAACACCACAAGGACCTTAAAATTCTTTAACATTGATCTCTCCCTTTGTCTTATATCATTTTGTTGTTGAGAATTTTAATTCTACCTTATTTTAGCTCTATCTTCCTTTAGGTATTGTTACGATTGCTTTACATACTAAATGTTTATTTAGTTCTGTGTATACATTTGCCAATGCCTTTCATCATTATTGTCTATTTTATTTTATACCTTGCTTTTGACGGTTATTTTTTCCCCCCTAAAATGTATTCTTTAATAGTTCTTTCATCTAGGATCTACGAATGGTAAACTTTGGCGTGTGGAAAGATATTACTTACTTTCCTTCTGGCTTTTCTTGTTGATATAAGTCTGCCGTTTTTCTAAAGTTCTTTATTTGTTAGAGATTTTTTCTTCTCAGTCTGGTTGATTTAAAGATTGTCTTTCATTGGTGTCCTACAGTTTCACTATAATGTTTCTAAGTGTGTGTATAGTTTTATTTATTGTGCTTACAATTTTCGATACTCTCTTAATCTGTTAATTCATATTTTCATCAGTTCCCAAATCCTCAGCTATTGTATTTTGACTATTGTCTCCACACACCACCCCCTTCTCTCAGTTCTCTCATTCAATAATTTCTGCTGGATGCTTTTTAGACTTCTCATTCCAACACACCTTATATACCTCTGCTGTTTTCCTTCCTTTGTCTCTTGTGTTGTCTTCCATTTTATCAATTCTCATTAGCTTTTTCTGCATGCTACTTAACATACCCATTGAGGTTATAATTTCAATTATTATGTTATTGTATTAATTTTTGCTGTTTAGTATTTCTAGATATATAATTTGATTCTTTTTCTTATCTATCTATCTATCTGTCTATCTTTATTTACTTATTTATTTATTTGAGATGAGGTCTTACTCTGTCACCCAAGCTGAAGTGCAGTGGCACAATCATAGCTCATTGTAACCCAGAACTCCTGGGCTCAAGTGATGCTTCACTTCAGCCTCCCAAGTAGCTGGGACTCCAAGTGCACGCCACCACTCCCAGTTAATTTTTTTTTTTTTCATTTTTTTGTAGAGACAGGGTCTCCGTATGTTGCCCAAACTTTGTTATCTTTTATTTAATAACTCCCTGTTCTTTTTTTATAGATGTTTATCACTGCTTTATCTTTTTTTAAAAAAACATTTTAAAAACTCCAATAGCAAAAATCAGTTTAATTGTTCTATTGTCTCTGTTTTCTTGTTGTACATGCTCCCATTTTGGTCACAGTAATAGGTAGACTGTCATTCATGGCTTTGAACTTATTTCTATGTTTATTCTTATGTTCAAGCTTGACATCTTTGGGAATTATTTTCTGTAGTAGATTTTCTCTATCTATATTCTCAATTGTGGAAGCCTCCCTTTAGGGATGATCGTGTCTTCCTGAATTCTCCAGTGTACACTGGCCATATGCCAGTTTTTATATTACTGTTGATTCTTCATGTTTCTGCAAATGTATGTGACTCAATTTTGAGCCTAGTATTATAGTCTTAGGATTCTAATATTATGTGGTTGACTCTGTCCTGCCCTCAGACTAGGGAGGGAGAGCTACTTTAATGGAACCCTAACCCAATAAGCTCAGATATTCAAGTTTTCATTCAGCAAAATTTTTTTCTCTCAGCCTCCCATAGTTAGGTCAGTTTTGGCTCTCAGCCATGTATGGTCTTGGGTTTAAACGTCCATCCTCACTCAGGTCTCACAGTATGAAGTCCTCCTGGACAGTGTTTGATCCAGGTCAAATACTCACCATAGTAGCTCAATGCCATTTTACTGATGAGAATTCTTTGCCTTTATTCGACATCTAGAGATTTACCATCCTTGCTTTTGGTGGTATGTATTAACATATTTATTACTATTTTACCTAGCATATTTGTGTTAGACAGGGGTCAAGCAACTCAATACATGATTTTTTAAATCATATGGTCTGTAATTTAAATGTCTCACATGTTTATGGAGATAAAGTTAACAAATCACTTACTTACAACATCTTATTTTCAAGATCCTCATTAAAATTCAATTGTAACTTTCAGGATTTGTGAATATTAACATATTTTTGCTTTTATTTTACTATTCTCTATTTTATATGTTTTAAAATATCTTCACTACCTTTATTTGTTTGGTGCATTATTCTTTAACTCACATTTTAATCAATTGTTTTGCTTTAATTTTCATAGGATGAATCTTCAAGAAGAATTGGATGAACTTAAAGTACATATATCTCTTGATAAGGCAACAATACAAGAACTGAATAGATGTATGGCAGAGAAAAGAGAAGGTAAATTTTTTGTGCAAATAAATGCTTCACATAGGAATTTTTTAATTACCTAGTTCTTGATGTTTTAGTTTCAATTTCTTTTAAGATTTTTATCTATTTTCTCCCTTTTCCCACTCCTTTACTCACTGATAACTCACAAACCTTTTCTCCGTTATGAGAAAATCAGATAAATAGAACACCTAGAAGTTACTTTTATAATTTATTAAAATTCTAAAGAGATGTTTGATAAGGGGAAAAGATATTCATTTTTATTATTCATTGATAACATTTTCCTTGTTATGTTTGTTCACAGTTTTATAGATAATATAGCCTTATATTCAATACTAATAATTCTTTTTTTTTTTGACATTACATTTTTCTGGGAAATCATTTAGTTCTCATATATTTTCCTGGAATTAAAATCTCAGAGTTAGTTGGACACTTGGAAATCTTTAAATCTGCAACATCCCTAACCACTAGCCTAACAATATTCGGTAGTAGGGAATGTCTCACTGCTCCAGTTGCAAAAAGATTATTCCTTTGTTAAAAGCGAGATAACTATATTTACTATACAAATGCAGTATCTCATTAGAAAAAGTAAATAAGGTTCATATGACAGGATTTTTTTCTTATTTAACCTGCTGCAGCCTAATTATTACCACTGTACTTTTAGGTTTTGACAATTTATACTTAATAATTAGTTTTCATATACTCCTTATCTGGCTTTTGTCCCAATTACTGTTGTTGTTCCAGTTGTTGATACTTAGGTCACTGGTGACTTGTCAAGGCCAATATTTGAATGCCTGTATTATATGTTTTATTTTCATCATTTTTTGAGCTTACTTCTTTCTTTATCAGCTTCTGAAACACTTATTTTCTTGTTTTACCTTACTCTTGCCTGTATCTTCTCTGTCTCTTCCACTGGAACTTCTATCCATTTTCTATTTAATAACTGGAATTCTCTAAGACTTTATCCTTGATTTACTTTTTGAAAAATAATGACTTTATTGTTTTTGAAAAAATTATACACACTTATAAACATTCAAGCAATAAGAATAAAAAGAAGCAAAAAAAGTTCATAACCAGTTAAAAATCAAAACCTTTAATACTATCATATAACCATCTCTTCAGTCTGACGCTCTCCCAACTGAGCTATTTCAGCTGATTATAACCATCTCTTAATAGTTATATAGAAAGAAGCCTAGATAGATAAATTATATAAAAA